TCGCCACCCAGCTCTAGCCCCCCCACTCCCACCCCGCACCACCACTGGTTGTTTCAGAAGGTCATTCCAGAAGGTCATTCTGCCGTCCGGTCTGATTTGCATATTAGCTTTTTATTATATAGAATTTATATATATATATAACATTTCTAAGCCTTCCTATATAGTTCTCAGAGAGGAAAAAAAAGCTATAGCAATTAAAAGTTTCAGAACTGGTTAAGTCAGTGGTTCTCAACCTTCCTAATGCGCGACCCTCTAATACAGTTCCTCATGTTGTGGTGACCCCCAACCATAAAATTATTTTCGTTGCTACTTCATAACTGTAATTTTGCTACTGTTATAAATCATAATGTAAATATCTGACATGCAGGATGCATTTAGGCGACCCCTGTGAAAGGGTCGTTCGACCCCCAAAGGGGTCGTGATCCACAGGTTGAGAACTGCTCGGTTAAGTGAAACAAAATAGCATGAATGGAAACCAAAGTATAAATCTCAGGGTAACCTAAGGCAGAGACTGTACTTAGGAATTAAAATTACTATCAGCACAGTGTAGGAATCAAATCTAGATATCAATTTGTATTATCACTAGATGAGAGACACTCACCCAAGTAAACACTGTTTTCTGTGGCTCCTCGGGCAGCTTCTACAATGTCTTCTTCATCTTCTAAAACACCATCATTAGATGCATAACTTGTATCATCAAAAAGACTGATGGGAATGACTTTGCCATCCTTCACCAACCAGGCAGACGCAATGGGAGTACAAAACTAAACAAAAGTGGAAAAAAGTTTAAAATAATTTGAAGCATTCTTTATGTATTCCAATTTCTAAAATACTATTTACAATCACAAATTTTAAATTTCTTATTTTTCTAGATTTATTGAGGCATAATTGACAAAAATGTATATATAGAGCAAAATGTGATATTTTGATATATGTATACATTGTGAAATGGTTAGCACAATTAAGCTAATTAACACATATCACCTCACACAGTTATTTTGTATGTGTGGTAATAATTTCACAATGTGTATGTATATCAAATCAGCACAATGTACAAAACAAATAGATAGTTTTTACTTGTCAATTATACTCAATAAAGCTAGAAAGTTTTCCTTAAAAAATCTATACTCTTGCAAATTTCAAGTATACAATACAGAATTACCAACTACACTCATCACCATGCTATACATTACATCTCCAGAATCTAGTCATCCTACATAACTGAAACTCTGTACCCTTGACCAACATCTCCCCATTTCTCCTTCCCCTAGGCCAGGGCAATCACAATCTACTCTCTGCTTCTATAATTTCAATTTTTTTAGATCCCACATATAGGTGAAATGATGCAGTATTTAACTTTTTGTGTCTGGTTCATTTCACTTGGCATAATGCCCTCCAGATTCATTAACACATTAAGTGCCCAGTCAGTCACCGGTGACTGACACTATACCAGTGATTCCCAAAGTGGGTGCTACCGCCCCCTGGTGGGCGCTGCAGCAATGGGGGGGGGGGCGGTGATGGCCACAGGTGCATTTGTTTTAAATTTTTTTGTATGACCTTTCTATTCTGAGTTCAATAAATAGTTTCATAATTTCAAACTTCAACGTTTCTAATTTACACCTTTCTTTACTATATTTCACGAGAAAGGTAGAAACATTAATGCATATGTCTTTCTGTTTAATTGCTATTAAAATTTTAAAAAAATTAATTTCCAGGGGGCGCTGAGTAATATTTTTTCTGGAAAGGGGGCGGTAGGCCAAATAAGTTTGGGAACCACTGCACTATACTTTCCATCGGAAGACAAAACAGGCTGGGCACTTAACGTGTTAATGTTGCAAATGACAGGATTCCCTTTAATAAGGCTGGATAATATTCCACTGTAAAAATACACACCACATTTCCTTTACCCATCCATCCAATAATGGACACTTAGACTGATTCTATATCTGGGCTACTGTGAATAATGCTATAGTGAACATGAGAGTGCAAATATTTCCTTGAGATATTGCTTTCACTTCCTTTGGTTATATACCCAGAAGTGGGATTGCTGGATCATATGGCAGGTCTATTTTTGAGGAAGTTACATACTGTTTTCCACAGTGGCTGCACCAATTTACATTCTCACCAACAGTGCACATAGATACACTGTTATACACCATTCACCAATAACTTTCTTTTGTTTTTTTCATAATAGCCATTCTAACAGGTATAAAACCACAAATTTCTTAATGCATAGAGAACAAGATAAAATCCAAATTGGCATCATTTCCCACTACCCAATATGTTTGGTCAAACTGAAAAAGGAAGAAACAGTTCATAAATTCTCAGTGGTTTTAGTTACCTGATATTCCCATTCTAGATGTCCTCCCTTCTTGCTAAAGGCCATAACCTTCCAATCCGCAACAGAGACTTTTATCACTGTGTCCACTATGGCAGCTTCCTGTTCTTCCACATCTGAGATAATTTCAGACTCTTTGTTCTGACTGGGTTTTACAGTGCTTTCAATAAATCCGGCTCTAGTTTCCATGTCTGGAATATACCGAAGTTCAAAGTGGCCAACACTGAAATTCCACCTTAAATTCACAAATGCATGTTTTAGAAATTTACACTTGAAAAGAGGGAGCCAAATAAATAACTTTTCTACAGGGAAATAGCAAACATTAAGATTTGGTGATGAGAAAAAGAACTCAACACAATCTTCAGGAAAGAAGCGCTGCTAATTTATGCCACAAGAGGGCATAACTTTGTCAGGGTTTGGAAAGTTGTGAGCTGACATCAGCTATGGGACAGATTTTTTCTCAAAAATTAACAATTGTTCACAATCCCAAATCAGGATGATTTTCTTAGAACACATCAAAGTCATCTTAAAATGGGATAGCAGCATGCAGTTGGACTTACTTCTTAATTCAAGTCTGGGCACATTTCATTCAAGTGTAGAGAAATTAGTATCTCCCAATAAGCCAATGTAAAAGGCAAGATGAATACATCAATTTTAAATTTATGTGAAAACATGTCCTGAAAGGCAATGTGACCAAGTATACCTGAAGGTCACACACCTTACCTCCAATCTCTATTGACTGAGAGCTGGCAAGTCACTTACCCTTTCCTGAGTTTCAATGTCCTTAACCATAAAGTGATAATAATAATATTCCTTCTATATTTAATTTACAGAAAAATCACTTAACTATTAACAGTATAATATCTTGTCATTTACATATAAAATGGCCTTAAAATTACATCTACTAAAAAATATATACTTAAGGAACATAGGTCTTAGACCCCCAGGCTCTTCCTTTATAGTGACTCAAAATTCTAATTAATTTGAACATCTGTTCCTATGGTAGCTGAGCAACCGGCAAGCACTCGAGCACTTAATAAAAAATAATAATAAAGCAAAATCCTATCAAGAATACAAAAGGTTAGGTTGCCAGCAGATATAAAACGTTACTCACAGTCCAGTGAATGTAAGAAAATAAAATTTGGAAAAAAAAAATAAAATAAAATGGCAAAGAAACAAAAAAAAAAAAATGAGTTAGAGAAAACAACTTTCTGGAAAGGAAAATGAATTGTACTGCATCATATATAAATCTGAAAGTCTGGATTAGCCCTAGTTGGTTTGGCTCAGTGGATATAGTGTTGGCCTGCGGATCAGAGTCCCGGATTCGATTCCTATCAAGGGCATGTACCTTGGTTACAGGCTCCTCCCTGACCCGGGCCCTGGTCAGGGCTAGTGCAGGAGGCAACCAACTGATGTCTCACATCGATGTTTCTCTCTTTCTTTCCCTCACCCTTCCATGCTCCCTAAAAATCAATGGGAAAATATCCTCAGGTGAAGATTAAAACAAGAAGAAGAAAAAAGAAACGAAAATCTGGCTCACTTTCCAAAGATAAAAATGGGATAAAAAATTATTACTACAAAGGCAATTTAACATTTAAATATTAGGTTTTTAGGCCTAGCTGGTTTGGCTCAGTGGATAGGGGGTCAACCTGTGAACTGAAGGGTCCCAGGTTCAATTACAGTCAAGGGCACATGCCCAGGTTGTGGGCTCAATCCCCAGTGGGGGGTGTGCAGGAGGCAGTCAATCAATGATTCTCTTTTATCACTGATGTTTCTATCTCTCCCTTCCTCTCTGAAATCAATTAAAAAATACTAAAAAATAAATATTAGGTTTTTAAAAATCACACATATATGTAATTTAAGAACAGCATAACTTATCCAACCATCTTATTTTTAATCACATATTTAAAAGTAAAAATTATATAAGGAATTCATTATTTGAAAAAAAAAATTTTTTTTTACCAAATAAATTATATCTTCATACTTTAAGAAGAAAATAGACTAAAATATTATTTTAAAATCAGGGTAATTGGAAAAACTATGAAACTACTACATAACAGAGAGAACTCAGAGTGAAAATGGTCAGGGCTGAAATAAAGCACATTAACTTTCTCTTGAGACTTTTGCATTGAAAAAATGTTGATCAGTAAGCTTGCTCTGAAAATTATCATTAACCTAAAACTAAACTCATATATTATCATCATATGAGACTCCTTCTAGTTACCATATCCTTAAGCATATGGAGAGAAGCCCGGTACAGAATTTGTTAATAATCATGAAGCCATTTTTAATTTAGGGCTTACATTTTTCTTAAAAGAATAGTATGCTTCTAGGGAACCAAAAGAGTTCAAAAAAATCTTCAAAGAAAAATCTGAGTAGTTTAAGTCTTGGTGTGGTTCTAAATAACACTAGCAGCTATATGATCTGAATACACACTTCTCATTGCCACTGCGAGGCCCGACAGCTCTAACAGTTTTCTGGGTGCGCTGTAGAAGCAGGATGTCTTCTTGTTCCATTTCATCATTATCCCATCGGCGACAACCCAATGCTGAACAGATGTACCTCACCTGAAAAAACATATAAAATTAGTTTAGCCCTAGCTGGTTTGGCTCAGTGGATACAGCGTCAGCCTGTGGACTGGAGTGTCTCGGGTTTGAATCCAGTAAAGGGCAAATGCCCAGGTTGTGGGTTCAATCCCCAGTGAGGGCATGCAGGAAGCAGCCGATCAATGATTCTCTCTCATCATTGATGTTTCTATCTCTCTCTCCCTCTCCCTTCCTCTCTGAAATCAATAAAAATATTTCTTAAATTAGTTTTAAAAAATACAAGTTACAGGAGGCCAGAGCCATTAAAGGAATCTCTAATTTATGTTTTTTTAAAAAGAAAAGTATGGAAGAAGCACCCAAATATTAAGAAGCATCGTAGATTACCAACTCCTAAAATTAGTTATTTAGAATCATAAAAGCAGCAATGAATATTCCAGGGAATGATTTTAAGGACTTAGATAATTTTAGTCTTACTTGGAGCATTCCATGGAATATACAAAAAGAAATGGGTAAAATAAATAAATAAATAAATAATAAAAAAGAAATTAAAAAAAGAAATGGGTAACCAGTTTTGATATCTTAACATCAATACAATTTCAGATGAATTAAAAAATATCCACCTCAGAGTTTCCATATTACAGAAGTAGTTGGTTTTTAAAAATTTGAACCTCTTCTAATAGCTGCAGTATTTCAAAGTACTTCCTTCAAATCTTCATTAAAAGAAAAAGGAAAAATCTTAGTATGAACCAAACTAAAATCCTAACAGAAAAAAAGCATACCTACCAGAATACCAGAATTTTGCGAAAGCACATCAAATCAGAGACCTGAGGATCTGGTTCATGGCAGTGTTTACAGGGAACACTGAAATACACAGAGGACTCAAGGCCTTCTCAATGCACTGCAGTATCAGGAGGTGAAGCAGAAAGCATCTGCACCAAGTACTACGGACCTAACACACAGGGAACCGCTCAAGTGTGGAAAACTCAAGGGTCAAAAGATAATTTTTCTATTTTTCCTTGTTTTAATTTTGTCTATATATAAGACAGTCACATACCAAGGTGTTAGGGATTAAAAAATATTTTACCTTTCTAAAAAAGATGCTTTTAATTGGTCATTCCTAATAATGGATTTTAATTGCAAGACACAATTTTATTTTTTTAATATATATATTTTTTATTTCAGATAGGAAGGGAGAGGAACAGAGAGATAGAAACATCAATGATGAGAGAGAATCACTGATCGGCTGCCTCCTGCATGCCCCCTACTGGGGATCGAGCCCGCAACCGGGCATGTGACCTTGATGGGAATCGAACCTGGGACACTTCAGTCTGCAGGCTGATGCTCTATCACTGAGTCAAACCAGCTAGGGCGCAAGATACAATTTTAGAAGCAGATTATGATTACATCCTAAGAGCTAATAACGGACAAAGTCTAGGACTTATCAGCATGACTGTCACCAGACAGATCAAGTCAAATCTGACCTTGAAAGTTTCTGACCCTTTTAAAGTCTCAGTTTTCTCAACTTTAACGTAAGTACAATTTTCTTCTTGGATCCTCTATTATAGGATCAAACTAGATAAAGAAATAAGTGGTACATTATTCTTATTATGACTGTTATTAATCTTTGGAGGGTTCTTCATCCATCCAAATGGAAACAAAAATATGTAACCCTTAGGAATACTGTGAGGATTTCAAAATAATGTGCAATAAGTGCACCACCACAGAGAAGAACCTGTTGTCTTGCTTCTGCTGTCCTGGCTCTGCTGTGTATTGTTATCTTGGATAAAGCTAGTTTCTCTTAATAATATTTCCCCGTTCACTTTATATATAGTTCTTTTATTACACCAAATGATATCCTTGGGGGAAATTTTAATAAACCTCAAATAGTAATAGTATAGTTTAAGAAACTACTTCTATTACAATTTATTCTGATTTCTCCCCAAGTAAATTCAGTATTTTCACTCACCTTTCCAGTACATGCACTGAGTCCATAGGTAGTGAGAGACTTCCCTCCAACCAAAACAACATCATCTCCAAATTTGTAAGAAGATTCAAGAAGTGATTCAACTGTAAAAGGAACTGTTTCCATGCTCTCACGGTCTCGGTCCCACTGGAAGAGGTCTCCATCCAGGGAAGGAATGATCATCTTATTCCCGAAAACCTAAAATAAAAGTTACGTTCGAAAAAGACCTTCACTATAAGAGGAGTAACTACGAGCTGGAGGGACTCTAGCTTCCTTCTCAAGCAGCACAGCTCACCAGCAAACAGAAGCAACTAAAAAGAACTGCCACCTCTCCAGGGGCATCCATGCAGTTCTCCAGTATGCTTTTCCTCCAACTGTTTGCCAGGAGTGTCCTTATGATATGTGAGTTACCCAAGAGAGCTCTGTGATCAAGTGAGTTCAAGAAGAGGTTACTACAGGGGTTCTTATTGTGATTGACATGCTATGTAGATTTTCCAGCGAGGGGGACAGCATATGCAGTACTTTCCAAGCCTATTTTATCCAGGCCAATTGCGGTCATAGGCTCAGATCCAAGAACACAAGTTGATTCATGCAGTAGCCCATCCTTTTTTGTACTTACTTTCTCAAGTCAGCTGTGTGCTAGAAGCCTGGAAACCAACTGGTAACTTACTGAGTTTATGTTCTCAGTTGTTCTTCCTCTTTAACAATGTTTACTGAGGGCCTACTATGTGCCAGATACTATTCTGTTGCTTATGACAGATGACACCAATGAGCGAAATAAATAATAATAAAATAAAAACAATCTCTGCCATTCTGGAGCTCAAACTCTAGTGTCGGCAGACAAAGTAATGAATAATTATAAGGTAATTTAGGTGATAAATGCCAGAAGGAAAAAATAGAATAAGATAAAGGGGACTGGAAAATGTGCATGTGGGAGGGGGAAGAGCCAGTCAGTGAGGAGTTAAGGGTAGACCCTGCTGAGAATGCAATATTTGAGCAAAACCTAAACCTGAAAGTTAACCATGCTTATTTCTGGGGCACACCCTTTACCAAGAAAGACTTAAGGTGCAAGTGCCCATCATAAGGAAAGCGAACTGTATTTAACTTATTGCTGTACTATACAAACTGAGACACCATTACATCCTCAAAAAGTGTTTATTGTACTTCTAAGAAATATTTACCAGGTATGCTTATGTTCTTACATTTGTTTATAAAGTGGCTGTAAAAATAATGCACTCAAATCTAGTGCCCAGATTTTGTTATCTAATTCCAATCCCCACCAAAAGAACGAAGGCTTCTCACACAAGTGATTGATACCAGGACTGGGTAGATAAATATCAGCCTTTAACATCGGATTATTCTAGAAAGAACAAATGTAATTTAACTTAAAAAAAAAAAAGGATGGGAGCATGCCACCAGCAACATTTGGAAGAGTTTAAATACCAAAATAATTAACTACTAAATTATAAATCATTAGGGAAAAAGAGGAATTCACAAGCCCATACTGATAATAAATAGATAAAATAAATAAATATATGGGGGAAAGGGAAGACTCTTATTGCAATAAAATGCCAAGTTTCTACTGGTAAATATGAAAGGAGGGCTGCAGCTGGAAAAATTAGCATTTTGTATCATCATAGTAAAGATTGAATCAGGTCAAAAATCAGCAATGGAATTAAATCTAGGTGAAAATTTTGATGAGAAGCAGGATATTTGAATGGTCTTAAAGTATTCCCCACACACTGCTTATTATTTACAAGAATTTCATAAACAGTAATTATATAGGGAAGAGTTCAGACAATACCTTGACTAGTGACCAAAATTAATAACATCCCTGATGCCCTAAGGCAGTGGTCGGCAAACTGCGGCTCGCAAGCCACATGCGGCTCTTTGGCTCCTTGAATGTGGCTCTTACACAAAATACTGGCTTCTGCGCATGGGCCATGAAGTTTCAATAGCACTGTATGTGTGCGCCCGCATGTGTTATTTTGTGGAAGAACCACACTCAAGGGGCCAAAGAGCCACATTTGGCTCGTGAGCCGCAGTTTGCCAACCACTGTTCTAAGGGGAGGACACATCATCTATGCAGAATCCTCACCAAGTATACACAAGCTGCATCTGAGCACAAGAAACACCAGACAAGCACAGGAGGAAATTTCAATCCTATCCTATATAATAAAAGCCTAATATGCTAAGTGTCCAGTTATCCAGTTAGCTATTCTACCAATCAAAGCATAATATGCTAATGATATGCTAAGGCCACTCAACTGCTTGCTATGACGGGCACTGACCACCAGGGGGCAGACACTCTGACTGGTAGGTTAGCTTGCTGGAGTCTGGGCCATCAGGACTGAACTACAGGCCAGACACACCCTGGAGCCCTCTCACGATCCCTCCCTGGCTGGCCAACCTCCTGCATCCCTCCTCGGCCTGGCCTGCACTCTCTCGCAATCTGGGACCCCTCGGGGGATGTTGGAGAGCCGGTTTTGGCCCAGCGGTGGAATGACCAGTCTCTAAGATGCGCACTGACTACCAGGGGGCAAACGCCCAATGCAGGAGGAGTGCTACTCAGCTAGAAGCCTGGGGAGTGCCCACAGGGGGGGCGCCACTCAGCTGGAAGCTGGGCTCTTGTCTGGCAAGCGCAGCGGTGGTGAAGGAGCCTCTCCCACCTCCACAGCACTCCTATGGGGAGCAGACCTAAGTTGTCAGTTGGACATTCTCCAAGGGCTCCCAGACTGTGAGAGGGTGCAGGCTGTGCTGAGGGACCCCCCCCCCCCGCCGAGGGCACAAATTTTGTGCACTGGGCCTCTAGTTCTTAAATAAAAGGGCAGAGAGACTGTATTCTTCAAAAATGTCAACATCATAAAAGACAAAGTCTGGACGACAAGATGTACTGAGATGGAAGATGCTACAAAAGACATTATTAGGTCAACTGATTAAATAAGAATATGAATGGTAGATTAAAATATCAATATAAATTTATGAAGTTGATAACTGTACTGTGATTATGTAAGAGAATGTCTCTATTAGAAAGTATTTAATGGTAAAGGACCATTATGGAGATCTAATATATTTTTAAATGTTTCAAGAAAAAAGTGTGTATGAGGGGTGAGGGGAAGGGGAGGAGAGAAAGAGGCACTCAGATGATAAAGCAAGCAAGTTTCAGTACGTAAATTTGGGTGTATAAGGGTTGGGGAGAGACCATTTTTATTTGAACAATTTTTGTAGTTTGAAATTACTTCCAAATAAAAGGTTAATAACAAAGACACTCAGGAGCCTTGCAGGAGCTCTGTAATATAAAGCCAGAAGGCTATGCCATTGAATCAAAGTTCATCATAACACTGGCTAAAGATCTACAGTTATTACTTATTTACCTATTTAGATTTACTTTTTCATATTTCTTGATAACAAGATAACAGATCTTATTTTCAAAATATTGCAACTTTTCTTTTTGTCTGTTGTCAACTGTTCAAGTTGAAGTTGCCACTAAGAACAGATATGGGGGAAGGAAGGGATGGGCAGATTAACCAAAGAATTTCTATGCATACTAGAGGCCCGGTGCATGAATTTGTGCATGGGTGGAGTCCAGCTGGCTTGCCCCAATTGGGCAGATCAAGCTGAGCTGGCCAGGGGGAGGGGCTTTGCGTGGTTGGCTGGCCGGCTCTGCTCTCTGGTCAAACTCCGGGTCAAGGGAACAATTTGCATATTTGTCTTTCATTATATAGGATTATGCATAACCTATGAACACAGATAATAGTGCAGTGAAGGCCTGTGAGGAAGAGGGGTTGAGGGGGTCAATGTGAGGGGGGGAAAAAGGAACATCTGTAATACTTTCAACAATAAAGAAAAATTTCTAAAAAAAAATAGAGATATAGATCAAAGTATACATACTCTATTGTGGACAAAAAGGGGCCACATGCTAACCTGATACGCTCGGGGCCTGTCTGGCAGCCTTGCAAACTCAGAGACCTAAAGTAGCCACAAAGGATGGTCTGAAGTTCACTAAAAAACAATTTATGGTGGGTAGTCATGTCCTTGGCTGGTATCTTCCCTGACAAAGGTCAATCTTTATCTTAACTGAACCTGTCTATTCTCATTTTGCATCTACGATAATTTATTGTTGGAATATCAGAGTAATTTTTCTTTTTCTGGACTCTCAAAGCATAGATACGCCTCTGCAGAGACTGCAAATCCCCTCATTCTTATTGAGTTAATTGTTGACTGTTAACTATCCTGTGCCCACCTACGTAAAAGATGTACTATCATTTTACTTTTTATCCAATCCCAGAGGTTTCCCCACTTTGCCTTCTCCCACATCCCTAACCAATCACCAATGGATTTCAAGTAACCCACTTACATCTCCTCTTTTGTTTTTAATGTATAAAGTATGTGAAAAACTGCACTTCTCCAGAGCATTATCTCAATGTGTTGAGATTCTGCTTCATAGCATTTGTCGGCAATTTGGCTCAAAAAAACTCACAAAAATTCTTTACAGGTTTGAATGTTTCTTATGTTAACACTATGATAACAATCTGTAGTATTTAGCAAATATGACCTCCCATTTTGAGTTACATATGTTAGAAAATCAAGTATTTATTGTCTCTACCTTCCATATTATGTTAGGTATTCTATATTGTATTTACCAGAATAGTAAATTCAAATTATGATAAAGTTAAAAGAATAGGCATTTCAGGTTGTCCAGCCCTGTGGACAGTAGTACTAGTCAAGTACAAACAAGAAAAGTAGATGTGTATCTCTAAAAAAAAGAGGAGTGAATAGGTCTATAGTACAAAGGTAACATTTGTTTGGACTTATTTCCTTTTCCATTAACTTCTTTTCCCCTAAGGCAGTAGCAGGTCCTTAGGGAACACAATGGCTCCTAATTCCAAAATAAAACAAAACTATCTTCTATTTATATAAAAACCCTGGGTGTAACGTCACGACTGATGCTCAATCAACCAGAAGGAAGTCAATCCTGCAGGGGTCATCTTGGAAATGGCTGCACCCTCCCCAAGCTGTTTTCCATGAGGGCGGTGAGGTTTCAGGCAGGAACCCGCCCTCAGAGCCTGGCCACACTGAGTCCTTGTGATGAAGTATTTAGAACTTTAACGTCACATGCTCTTCGAACTCAAGAGAAAGCAACATATAACTGACCATGTCTGAAAACAGGTTCAGGTAGGAATATTCCTACTCTGTCT